CGACTCCTCGCCGGCCCAGCACAGCCCCCTGGAGGTCAAGGGTGAGATTTCAAAGAAATTCTGAAGACAGCCTGGCAGGGCCCAGAGCCCTGGGATGTCAGACGGAACTCACAGAGCACAACGTTCCCGTCTCAAGTGCTCAGCGGGTTTAGCGTATTCTCAGATGGGGCAGCCATCCCTGCAGTCGACCTTAGGGCATCTCATCACCTCAGAAAGAAACCCGCACCCTTGAGCTAGCAGCGCCCCACCCTCACCCCCAGCCCCCCATCCCCCCATCCCTGGTAACCACTGATCTAAGGTCCACCTCTATGAATTTGCTTTTTTTCTTTTTGAGACAGAGTCTCGCTCTGTTGCCCAGGCTAGAGTGAGTGCCGTGGCGTCAGCCTCGCTCACAGCAACCTCAAACTCCTGGGCTCAGGCAATCCTCCTGCCTCAGCCTCCCGAGTAGCTGGGACTACAGGCATGCACCACCATGCCCAGCTAATTTTTTCTATATATTTTTAGTTGTCCAGCTAATTTCTTTCTATTTTTAGTAGAGACAGGGTCTCGCTCTTGCTCTGGCTGGTTTCGAACTCCTGACCTCGAGCAATGCTCCCGCCTCGGCCTCCCAGAGTGCCAAGATTACAGGCGTGAGCCACTGTGCCCGGCCTGAATTTGCTTTCTGGACTAAAATAAAATTTTAAGGCCCCCCAACTGGCTGATTGAAGGGACCCCCTCCTGGCCAGGGGGATACCCTTAGACTCATTGCCAGCCATGAGGAGGGAGGTCAGAATGCCTCACATGCCCCACCTTCTTGGACGCATGCTCTGTAGCTCGTTGACAGGCCTGAGGCTGCGCAAGACACACCTGCAGGTCCTCAACTTACACAACAAATTCACGGCCAGTGGCTTGTCTCTAACAGACTGTCTTATGTTAACTTAAAGCATTCCAAGCCTTTTAGGCAAAACTACACTTTTTTAACCAATTATAAGTCAAAGCATCTTTAAACCCATCTATAACCTGTAAGCTCCCCTCCCACCTTGAGATGTCCCACCTTTCGGGCGAAACCACCGTGCGCCTTCCATGTACTGATTTGTGACTTTGCCTGCAATTCCTGTCTCCCTGAAATGTAGAAAACCAAACTGTGACCCAGCCACAGCCAGTCCACTTGCTCAGGGCTTCTTGGGCGAGGCTCCGGGTCCTCAAACTTGGCTCAGAATAAACCTCTTTAAATTATTTTCCAGAGTTTGGCTTCTTTTCCGCTGACAGCTTATTTGGGACACTTCATACAAACGGAATCATGCGATCTGGGGCCTTTGGGATCCTCTCACTCAGCACAACGTTTGCAAGGCCCATCCACGCTGTGGCATGCATGGTTACCTCATTTCTCTTCGTTGACAAATAACATCCCATTGTACGGGCAGGTGACACTTTGTTTATCCATTCCTCACTTGATGGGCTTTTGGGTTATTTCCACCTGTCGGCATTACGAACAATCCTGCAACAAACATTCCCGTGCAAGCGTCCGTGCGGACACGTGCTTTTTCATTTCCCTTGGGTGGAATTGCTGGGTGTTCATCCACAGCCAGAAACCCTCAATAAACACACAGCTGGCAAACTCCATGAACCATCCTGGCACGGCTCTTGCAGGCTTCCCACCTGCCAGGCACTGTTTTATATTTTTTTAAATTTATTTTTTGAGACAGAGTCTCACTCTGTTGCTCGGGCTAGAGTGCCGTGGCATCAGCCTAGCTCACAACAACCTCAAACTCCTGGGCTCAAACAATCCTCCTGCCTCAGCCTCCCGAGTAGCTGGGACTACAGGCATGCGCCACCATGCCCGGCTAATATATATATATATATATATATAATTTTTTTTTTTAGTTGTCCAGCTAATTTCTTTCTATTTTCAGTAGAGACGGGGTCTCGCTCTTGCTCAGGTTGGTTTCAAACTCCTGACCTTAAGCGATCCTCCTGCCTTGGCCTCCCAGAGTGCTAGGATTACAGGCGTGAGCCACTGCATCCGGCCCAGGCACTGTTTTATATTAACTCATTTAATCCTCACAACAATCTAGGAAAGAGGTACTACCACCATCTCAGTTGTACAGACGAGGAAACTGAGGCACAAAGAGGTCACTCGTCCAGTAAGGAGAGTGCGACGTGAACCCCTGCTTGGCTCGAGAGTCTCTGCTCTTAACACTGGACTGGAACAAAGCTTGTGATCAGATAGAACATTGTAGAAAGAACAAGGCCAAGGGCAGCCTGGGAGTCAGCAGTGGGTGCGACTCAGATCCTGGGAGGACCTGAAGCAGTGGCTTCCCCTTGTTACCCGGGCAACCCCCAGGGGCGAGCACCCCAGGAGGAGGAGCCCGCTGAGCTCCAGGCTGGCCCGGAGCACGTCAGGACGGCCGGGACCTGCATTCACTCCACTAATATATTCACTGAGCACCTGGCAGGGCCGCACACTGCGCCACACCTGGAGTTCCCACCGCGAACAACAGACACAACCGCTGCCCTCCCGGGGCTGCCACGTTAGTGGGGGAGAAACAGGCAGTGCACCATCTGAGCAACGGCCACGCAACCGACGTTAGAGGGTGCACAGGGCTGGAGGGAGGGCAGAGCAGGAGAAGAGACAGGCAGTGCTGGGCAGGTGCGATTTAATACAGGGTGAACCTGAGCAGTGAGATCTGAGAGGGAGCGAGACGCGGGGGTGCGCAGGAACAGTGTTTGGAGCAGAAGGAACAGCAAGAGAAAAGGCCCAAGGTAGGGAGTATGTCTGCAGGAGCAGCAAGGACGGGGAGAATCCTGCAGCCTCCAGGGAAGGGGTTTTCATAGGCAGAGAGGGCAATGGAGCCCCGCCAAGCCCAGAATTCCAGGCCTGCCATGCTGGCCTTCCCCCTACCACGGTCTAACCCTCTGAGATAATCAGTCCTGATGAGGAAGATCAATTTCAAGGCCGAGGGAGAAAAGGGGAGCAGGACGCTGCAGGCTGGACCATGCCGCCATTGGCCAGTGCATACGAGCTCACAGGGACACAAGCAGGTACACACGTCCACACAAGCTGAGTCCATATACATACATGTGTGCTCAGGGTTCACACAGCACAAGGGACAGAGTCATGCTAGTGGGGAGGAAAGGGATCAGTCAGGACTCTTTGAGCTGCAAGGGGCAGAAATGCAGCCTGAACCCGTGCAGGCATAAAAGGGAATTTGCTGGCTCATGGACAGTGGGTCCTGAACCAGGCATGAGAGGCCACCAGGCTTCTCTCTCACTTCTCATCTCAGTTTCTCTCTGTGTATGGCCCTACACAGTCGAGCCATCTTGCCCCACTGGCAGCTCACAGCTCCCCACCCTTGTACCTAGTGGCAATATAAAAATCCCAGGGAAGGCTTCTGATTGGCTCATCTTGGGTCACATGTGCACATCCCCAGACCAATGGCTGTGTCCTGAAGGAATAGCAAGGACTGGTGTCTCAGAGGAAGGGACTGCCACATGGGCAGTTACTGAGCACAGAAATGCCACCCAAATTTAGGGGAGAGTGCCTAGTAATCTAGACTAATAACTTCATCTCTCGGTTTCCTCATCCATAAAGTAGAATAATAGAACCTGCCTTATAAGCGCTTGCAAAGATTGGATGAGTTGATATGTGCAAAACACTTAGTGCATAGTACATGGAAAGTAACATACAAGTGTGAGCTATTGTTGAGTATTGTTACTACTATTACTACAACTACTTCCACAATCAGAGCAGCTCTGGGAGGTGGGTATTATTATTATTATCATCATCATCATCATCCTCCTCCTCCACAGGGGAGGGAAGTGAGGGAGGAAAAAGCCACGGAGAGTTTCGCAGAGGCCTATGCTTCGGGGAATCGGAGAATCACGCAACAGTAACTTTCCGGGAACTGCGTCGGGGAGCCGAGAAAACCCGGCAACGACATCAAGCCCAAATGTCTTTGGCAGCTGGATGGAATCTCAGGGATGATCTTAGTCCAGGGTTTCTCAACCTCAGCCTGGTGGACATTGGGGGCTGGACAGTTCTCCGCCGTAGTGAGGATGGCGGGGCCATCCTCTGTGTTGTAGGGTGTCTAGCGACATCCCTGGCCTCCCCATCCACACCCACGCCGCCCCATCTGTTAGCCGAGGGGGAACTTAACTGAAGGAGTTTTGGTAAACTGGCAAAAAAAATACTGGCAAATTCATTCATTACATCATGGTGACAAGAATGTGGTCAGCTGCAAACACCTGCCTGTTTCCACTGGGGTCCATTTGTTTCCTTCCAGTGGTGGGAGGATAGATTGAGGCCAGGAGTTTAAGTCCAGCCTGAGCAACATAGCGAGACCCTGTCTCTACACAAAATAGAAAAATCGGCTAAGTACAGTGGCTTACAGCTGTAACCTCAGCTACCTGTGAGGCTGAGGCAGGAGGGTCGCTTGAGCCCAGCCCAGGAGTTTGAGGCTGCAGTGAGCTATGATGATGCCACTGCCCTCTAGCTCGGTAACAGAGCAACACCTTGCCTTTTTTTTTTTTTTTTTTTTTGAGACAGAGTCTCACTTTCTTGCCTAGGCTAGAGTGCCGTGGCGTCAGCCTAGCTCACAGCAACCTCAAACTCCTGGGCTCAAGCAATCCTACTGCCTCAGCCTCCCGAGTTGCTGGGACTACAGGCACGAGCCACCATGCCCGGCTAATTTCATATATATATATATATTAGTTGGCCAATTAATTTCTTTCTATTTTTATAGTAGAGACGGGGTCTCGCTCTTGCTCAGGCTGGTTTTGAACTCCTGACCTTGAGCAATCTGCCCGCCTCGGCCTCCCAGAGTGCTAGGATTACAAGCATGAGCCACCACGCCCGGCCAACACCTTGCCTTTTAAAACAAAAAAAAGTTAGCAATCTCATGCCCAGCCCCCAATTTTTAAAATAAACTTTTAGTTTTAGATTTATAGAAAAATTATGAAGGTAACAATGGAATATTATATAGCTACAAAAAGAATGAAACCCTGCCATTTGCAACAACAGGGGTGGAACTGGAGAACATTATGCTAAGTGAAACAAGCCAAGCACAGAAAGACAAATCTCCATGTTCTCTCTGATTCTACAGACAGCAGAATGATGGTTACCAGAGGCTGGGAAGGGTAGCAGGGAGGGGGTACAGAGGGTGGTTAATGGGTACGAAAACATAGTTAAATAGTTAGATAGAATGAATAATATTTGATAGCACAACAAAGCAACTATAATCAACAATAAGGGCATACTTTAAAATAACTAAAAGTAGAACTGGGATGTTCCTAACACAAAGAAATGATAAATGCCTGAGGTGGTGAATACCCCAATTACCCGGACTAGATTAATTCACATTGTCTGCCTGTATCAAACCATCACACGTGCTCTGTAAAGACTTGCAACTATTATGTACCTGTAATAACGTTTTTAAAAAGAAAGAAAAAGCATGAAGGTAGTAGAGTGCCCATATACTCTCACCCAATCTCCTCTATCATTAACACTAACATCTTACATGAATACTGTGCATCTGTCACAATTAATGAACCAACGTTAATGCATCATTACTAACTAAAGTCTACACTTCACATTACCCAGATTTCCTTAGTTTTTACCTAGCGTCCTTCCTGTCTTCCAGAATCACATCCAGTGCACTAGGTACACGTCATTGTCATGCTCCTCAGGCTCCTCCGGGCCGTGACAGTTTCTCAAACTCCCCTTGGTTGCGACCGCCTCCACCGTTTGGAGGAGTATCCATCAGGCGTTTTGGAGAGCATTCCTCAGCTGGGATCTGTCCGATGTCTTTCTCCAGATTAGACTGGGATTATGGGTTTCAGGAAGAAGATGGCAGAGAGCAAGGGCCTCTCTCCTCACTTCCTACCGAGGGGGCCGCTCTGGGGGTGACTGATCACTCACTGTTCAGGTAGACCGTGATAGTCTGGCTGAGCAAGGCGAATTACTTGGAATTCTTCTGCTTGGAGATTCATCTCTCTGCCAAGTAAAAAAATATACATGATATCAGTGCAGCTCTGGATTCCGGCTGTCACCGTTTGCAGACTCCAGCTGGCACAGTGGGGCTCAGAGAGGGAAGCGGCTGCCCCGGGTCACAGGCGTGGGTGGCAGCTGTCGGGCTTGCACCCACCCGAGCCCCTGCTGTGCTCGCTGCAGGGACCCTCCGCCCCGTGCCAGTGGGCGCCGCCAGCCCTCGGGGAGACCTTCAGAGGGTTCCACTGCAGCTCCAGGAACCCCGAGTTGGAAATCTGACCCGGGTGCCTGGACATTTCATGGGGGTGTCTCAGGAACCCCGAGTTGGAAAACTGACCCAGGTGCCTGGACATTGCATGGGGGGGGGTCTCAGGAACCCCGAGTTGGAAAACTGACCCAGGTGCCTGGACATTGCATGGGGGGGGGTCTCAGGAACCCTGAGTTGGAAAACTGACCGGGTGCTGGGACATTGCATGGGTTGGGTCTCAGAACTGAGTTGGAGGAAACTTGGACCGGGTGGCCTGGGCAATTTCAATTGGGGTGGGTTCAGGGGACCCCGGAGTTGGGCAACTTGGGACCCCGAGGTGTGTCTGGGGGACATTTCATAGTAGGGTCTCAGGAACCGAGTTTGGAAAACTGACCGGGTGCCTTGGACATTTATCATGAGGTGTGGATCGGCTGCTCCGGACCACGCGTGGGCCGTGCAGCGGTGCTGGCGGGAGTGGGAGTGAGGTAAACCCGTCCCGAGGTAGTGCTTCCTGGGGCCCTGGACCCCCCCAGCTCCTCACCTGCAGGTCTCGGCTCGGTCCCCACCAGCCCTCGGGGGAAACTCCGAGTCTGCAGGGGGCAGAGGAGGCCCCCAGGCCATGTGGGCAGGCCAGCTGGCCCGCCCTCCCGCGGCCTGGCGGCGGGAGGTCTGACTTCCCCGCTGGGCCGTCCCCGCGGCCTCCCGGGGCCTCGCCCGCCCCCTCGACCGGCGCCCGCTGCCCGCGCCCGCAGCGCCCCCTCCCGGCCGGGGCCTCTCGGCGCGGCCCTGCTCTCTGCCTCCCCCTGCAGGCGTGCCAGGAAGGGCGGCTCGGGTTGGAAAGCACCAAAGAGGAAGACCAGGGCGTTCTGGAACTCCTGGATGGCTTAGGCTCTGGGCTCTACCACTCGCTAACCGAGCCTTAAGGGTACTATGGAACCTCTCAAGGATTTAAGCCAATCTCCTTTTCCTTTGGTTTAAAAAATTGGGGCATATATTTGGGCCGGGGGCGTCGGTCGGCTCAGGCCTGTAATCCTAGGCCACTCTGGAGGGCTGAGCGGGTGGATCCGGGGCTCCGAGGTCAGGAGTCAAAACCCAAGCCCTGAGCAAGAGGAACCCCGGTCTCTACCTATTAAATAGACACGAATTAATTGGGCCAACTAAAATATGATTAGAAAAAATTAGCCAGGCAGTGGCGGCATGCCTGTAGTCCCCAGGCTACTCAGGGGAGGCTGAGGCGACAGGATTGCTTGAGACCAGGAGTCTGAGGGTGCTGGTGAGCAGGGCTGGGGACCAGCACAAAAAAAAAAAAAAAAAAGACGGCACTCAACTCTAGCCTGGGCAACAAAGTGAGACTCTGTCTCAAAAAAAAAAAACAAAAAAAAAACCCCAAGAAAATGCATATATTTGTAGAATGTATTTATTGCTGGTCAAGGTATAAAAGACCCTTGCAGAAAAGAATAAAAGTGCACACCTGACGTGCACAGCTCAATGAATCAACACAAAGCAAGCACACTTGCGGAACTACGCAGGGCAGGAATTGAAACATTATCAGCACCCTGGAAAAGCCCGTATTCACTACTTCCTTCCTCTCCCTCCTAGATTCTAACACTGCATACAATGGCTGTAGGATTAATGCTTTCCTCATAGGATTGTGCTGAGGATTAAGTGGGGGTAACGTGTGCAACAAAGCACTTGGCGTGCAGGAAAGCATTCAATGCATGCGTGGACTCTTGTATGCCCTTCTCTCCCATGTTCCCTCCTCTTGGTCAGCAGCAGCTGTGCAGTCCCCTTTCTGCACAGGTGTATTCTGCAGCCCACAGCGAGGGGAGAATGCTGGTTAAGCAAACAGACGGCCAGTGCATCTGTGCCTTTTGGTGGTAACACTTACCCGGGACATTATCTCCTCCAGCACTGTCCCTTCTGCCTCCTTGATTCTGTCATTTCTATCCACCCATCCCTGGGTCCTTCCCAGGCTAGGCCCTCAGCCCCTCTCTCAAATCACTGCCCAGGCCTTCAAATAGCACCCACTCCCCACTCCCAATGCAGCCTCCACACTGCAGCCAGGGCACTCTTTCTAAAGCACAGATCTCACGAGTCACCCCCGCCCTGCTTGCAACACTCAATGGCTCCCTATTGCTCTCAGAAGAAAGTCACACCCTTCACGACATTCAAAGCCTTTCAGACCTGGATCCTGCCTTTGTCCCAAATCGATCAGTTACCAACTCCTTTTCCATCCTGGTGTCTGCATTCTAAATTCACTGTCACCCTCTGTGCCCCCTCACCCTGTAGCCATTTTTGCAGCTGGGCTTTTGCACGTGCCATTCCTGCTGCCCAGAAGACTCTGCCTGTACCTCTGTCCCCTGCTCATCCTGTCCACGTTTGAGCATGCAGCTCCAATGTCCCACCCCGACAAGTCTTCTTTCCTTCCCACTCCCTGCCCTGCCCAGAGAATAGAGGGCCCTCCTTCTACTCATCCTTCGGGTCTCTTCCCAGGCTCCACCTCCTCCAGGAAGCCATCCCTGATTCCTCCCCACCCCCACATTCTCAAGGTACTTCCTACAGTCTCAGCACTTCACATGCTGGGTGGGGACACCTGCCTTTGTTCTGTCTGAGGCTTCAGGACTGGGAGCTCCCAACGGCCGAGCCCCAGTGTCACCACGGAGTGGCCGCGGAGGCCGTTCCTCAGCTGGGAGACAGCTGGTCCCTGAGTGTCTGCCACATGGCAGGCCCCGGGCCAGGCACTTCGCCTGCACCCTCCCACGGCAGCCTCACCGTAGCGAGGCAGGGCTTGCCTGCTCCCCACTGGACAGAGGAGGAGACTGAGAGGCTCAGAGAGGTTAAGCAACTTGCCTGAGGTCACAGGGCAGAGCTGGGATTTGAACTCAGGTCTGTGTCTCTCAAGCCTGAGCCAGGTTCTGCTGCCTTGTCCGGGCCTGAGAGTGAGGAGGGGTCACACTCGTCCCAGCCAGGGCTCAGAGGGGACTGCATCGGTCAGCAGGGGTGGACACTGGCTCCCCCATGTCCTGCCCGGGACACAGACAGTCCCTTCACAGGGAGCAGGGGTTGGGCGTGCCAGACCCACCCCTCCCTTCTTCTCCAGGAACAGGTCGGGGTCACCCCCCCTTTCCAATCAGCTGAAACTGGAGCACACCTCAGCCTCAGTTTCCCCAAGACCCTGAACCCTGCTCCCTCTTCCCTGCAGGAAGGCCAGATCGCTTGTTAAGCCATGTGGTTCAAGCTTAGAAAGAGACAGCCCTCCTGTGCTCACTGCCTCAGCAAGCGGCACCTCCACCTGCACCGTGCACGAGCCGGGGGCCGCGGAGCCCTCCTTACCACTTCCCTCTGCCCCCCGCCACCTCTTCCAAACCCTCACAGTGGCAGAGACTCCAACATCCACTCCCCCTCCGCCCACAGCAACGGAACCGCCCATCCTTGGCTGGGCACGGCCACCCAGCGCTGAGACTGCATTTCCCAGCCTCCCTGTGGCTGGGTGTGGCCAAGCGATTAAACTCTGGCCAATAGGATGTGAGCCAAAGCGACCCTCGAGGGAAAGGGCGGGGCTTCCTTCCTTCCCTTCCCTTCCCTCTTCCCCTTCCGGGTATTGGGAGCGCAGGACATGGTGGTGATCAGATTTGGACCACGAGAACAAAGACAACAGCTCGGGGATGATGGAGCAACCAGGTGGGAGGAGCCTGGGTCCCTGCCACCTTGGAGCAGCCAACCAGAGCCGGAACACTCACACCAGGACTGAGTGTCAAAGGGAAAACAGAGTCCTTTCTTGTTTAAACCACATATTTTGGGTCTTTGAAGTGGCAGCTGAACCGATTTCACAACTAATAGAATCACTAGGTTCTGTGTATTTTACCTCCTAAGGATCACCCAAATTCATCTACTGTTTCCAGTCTCCACTGACCCCACCCCAGGCAAAGGCAAGCCTCGCCTCCGTCCCCCCACTGCCTGAGCGCCAGGCTCACTTGCTTTCTGTCAGTTACTTGAATGTATCATGCTCACTCCTGCCACAGGGCCTTAGCACATGCTGCCACTGGGAACACCTTTTCTTCCTCTCTTTGTCTAATCACCTCCTACTTTTCCTTCAGATTGTCACCACCACCTCCTCTTCAGGAAGAGCCCTCAATGACTGCCCTGGCCAGGGCAGAGCCCCTCTTACGAAATCCCACGGCACCACGAACCTCTTCTGAGTAGTATGTGTCCGAGTTATGATGCCTTCAGGGCATCTAGGAATCTATCCCCAAAATACACTGCCCCAAATACACAATCGCAGAAACACAGGTTTTCTGTTGCAGGCCTACTAGTAACAGCAAAATACAGGAAACTCAAACTATCCACCAAGAGGGAACTGGTTGAATAAACTATGGTTTGGACACACGGAGGAGTACTATGCAGCTATGAAAAGAAACGGGGAGCCGGGCGCCATGGCTCACACCTGTAATCCTAGCACTCTGGGAGGCTGAGGCGGGCGGATTGCTCAAGGTCAGGAGTTCAAGACCAGCCTGAGAAAGAGTGAGACCTCGTCTCTACTAAAAACAGAAATAAATTAGCTGGACAACTAAAAAAATATATATATATATATATATATAAATTAACTGGGTATGGTGGCGCATGCCTGTAGTCCCAGCTACTCGGGAGGCTGAGGCAGGAGGATTGCTTGAGCCCAGGAGTTTGAGGTTGCTGTGAGCTAGGCTGATGCCACGGCACTCTAGCCTGGGCAACAAAGTGAGACTCTGTCTCAAAACAAATA